TGAGTCATGTTAAGTAATAATAGTTTCAGTTGGCCGCGCACCCCTTCTTAAAATATTATGCTGATGATTTATACTAAAATGAATGCAACGTAAACCGGTAAAAATCATAACTGCATCCTGAACAACTTTCACGTTGTCGTTACCTATTTTAAACACGGAGGGTTGGCTTTTCTTGCTTTACAAAGGCGACTTTAAACTAGAAGCACAGTGTCTCACGTCAGGCAAATGTCGCTCGTTCTGGAAGCCGAAATTCCAAGTGTATGATCATTATGAATGGACGGTATTTGTGTTACCTAACTGATCACATTCGATAGCACTGACCTTGAGCTTTTTGGGTAAGTAATTTCCATTCGTGCTTCATTCTCGGTTGTTTTCAAATTCCATTTCAATTCTGGATTACTATTCTCATTGATTCCATGGGACATCTTAACAAATTGTAGATGCAGAGAGCGTTAGGTATAAATCTGTCCAACAATCTAGCTCATCTATCACCTAAATGAAAACACCAGCCAAAATATTGCTGATAGTTTGCCATCAGTCAGTGTGCGTTGATTCATTACGTGATGATGTCCTTCCACTCGTTCACTCTGGCCCACGGATGAGCGAAGTGTAGTCTTCCATTTATAGATTGTTCAAGTCTCTCAAAACTGCCACACTCGTGCAAACTGATGGCACGGTTATTCGGGCTCCGATATTCCTTGAAACATCAAGCTCATGTTGTTTATACAATCACTGCAGATAATATTCACGCGTTTAAGTCATTTTCAAACTCTGACTGCCTCAAGTGCAACTCCTTCCTATCCTTAAACACTATAGTACACAAATTGAACACCAGTGAACAACGGAGACACGAAACGTTTTATTCGAAATGATTTACTGGACACATCTTTCAGATCCCCGAACTCTTTAACCCGCTTAATCGAGAACGGAAACTAGGAAAGCACAACTTGTGCAACGGTGAAACATTTACCAGATGAAGGATATGAGGTAAAAGGCGTAGCCTTTAAAGTGATCCACGATGCGACTGTGAGTTCATCATTAGTTATTTAACTACTCTTTTCGTCAACAGCGGGGGTGGTAGCGACCAGGTTGTCAAACCAATCACTTAGTTAACATAGATAATTCGTTATAACACTCCAATCTTGCCCACTGTGCCACTTCAGTGATGTTACACACGGCTTTGATTAATGGACTTTTTCCAACAACTAACAGTAAAATACACCCCATTCCCATGTAGTACAAACCTACAACTTTAGTTAACCGACTCATTCTTGATAGAGCAAACGTTATTCATTGATAGGCATTCTTTTGTCAACCAAGAATATGAAACTACGAAAAACAAGCATGTTCGCCTTCGTGTACACTTTCTTTAGGACGTAGTAGGATTATTCAGGGATTAATCAAAATTGCTAACATGAATTTTCGTTGTCATGTAACGTGTTTCTTTTCTCGTCACTTATTCTCAGTTTACTATAGTGACTTGAATCATTCTCGTTGTGCTTGTAATCTTGAGTATGCAGAGGGAACTGTCGGATTATTCCCGGTGGGCACTTTCGGAGAAGATATTTGAGAACAAGCTCTTTTTCGATGATTCTTTCTAATGCCAATACGTCACACGTTATTACGACAAATGAAAGAAGTGAACCAATTAAACAAATAGGGAGCGATGGAGATTACTGATGACATAAATAGGAAAGAAAACAATAGTAATCCTGGCTTTGGTCAAGATCGGAAGTAGAATATTTCCTACGTATTACGTCAGTATTCATTTGGTCCATGGCCTTGTAGAATGAGGGAGGGCCAGGCAGCTTAAGACCACAAACATTATTTTTGGGCACACAGAACTGGATGGCGTTGCCGGACGTCGACTGCCTCCGATATGGCCAGGATGCGACGTTTTGCTTGTCTTGACTGTTGATCTTAGATCTTACACTGGGCGCGAAAAGCCTCTGTGAACATGAACAAGCAAGTTCACCGTACCACCTCCTGAGCCTCTGAATACGATAAAATGAAATCTAATGTTCCTTGAAAGGAGGGTGCGTTAAGATAAATTCGAAGACTTAACTGTCCTCCTGCGCTTCATTTTGGAACCAGAGAAAGTCAAATGATAATACTGTGTCGTTGTATTTCGGATGATACCAGGAGGGTGCTGCGCGTGGGTTTATTTGTAATGGAGGAGGAATAGGATAATCTTGTGATGGTACCGAAGAAAAAGGGGAATATTGCCTCAGTCAGTCAAATGAAATATTCGAGCGCAGAACACAAAAGAGAAGAAAAATGCAGACCGAGAGGCAAAATGGGGTTTGAGAAAATTAGAAGGCGACTCTGCAATCGCATTTCACTCTATGTACGAAGGCCTCACCATTGACTACAAAACTCCAGAATCCTCCAATATGGATTTTGCACATACATCAAGCGCTTCTACGCGGAGGCTATAGCAATTACCACACACCGATCATGTCTCAATCTTAACTATGGGGCAGAGATTTCAGGCTTAGGGTTGGCACTTACGACATTGGTAGATAAACACCCAAAGGGTCATACCACCTTGTTGACCTCAAACGACCCCAATATCACAGATACATAGTATGGCGGGAGGTTCAACGCCTACCCTCGCAATAAACAACACCACAAACAGACAGACCAACACAGGAACACACTGTGACCAATACCCATTTGCTCCAAACAGTCATTCCAGTTTCATTCGGTTGTAAAATCTGTCTTAAGAAACGTTAGCCATGGTAACCGAAATGTCGACAACCTACCAACGACCTCTACTACGCTGTGTTATTGAACAATAAAACTTTAGCAAATATCTGAAGCATTTAAATTTTTCTACGGAGAAGGGCTTGAGAGTGAAACCATTGATGAATAGGTTATAGTGATGAAAATTCTGGCCATATCTTCCAACTTGTGTGTCTGCATGAATGACAGTCTATTACGAGAAAAGCCGGTGACCGGCGCGAGGAATGCTACTACAAAAACAGTACTTACTTACTCGTCAACTGTAGGTGAAAAAATTGAGCCATTATTTGCAAGACTGAAGAAGCCACCGCGTACCCTATTAGACAACTTACAGATCACATCAGATCGACTGATTTTAAGGCCTTGACAAAATCCACTCTCCTTGTTTGCACTTTTTATAGTCACAAACACGAGAAACGAAGAGAAGACAGCACAGCTCTTAAAAAAGATATGCTCCGATTACAGGAAGCAGAACCATTTCTCCGGAAAATGGAATTCAGTCACCATTTAGCCTGCCAACAAGTCGGTAGATCTTAAAACAACTATCAACCGTTCCCTTTGTGGCAATGCAAATGAGATGTTATTTGCAAATATCATAGTTCCCAGAAAATGCTGTTTTTCAACTAGATCGCTTTACGTCAGTGTATTTCATCACTGCTTCCTATGAGGATGTTGCTTCTCTATGGCTTGGTGCGGACTATTCAAGAAAATAAATGGAACAGAAGCGGATGTTTTTACGCAAAGCAAGTGGAGGTCGAGTCAAAAATATCGTGTCACCCATAGCCTGGCTTTTGCTGACCGCAAGAGAATTTAAAACTAATATTCGGACTTGACGCAGTTCGGAGGACTATTTTGTAAATGATTCAGGAAGAACCAACACATTTGTTCAGTGCTTATCAGTTTCTGAGTTTCAGATGTAATTTTTCTCCTGCAAAAGTGAATTTATTAGAGCCTTACCTGCTATAGTGCAAGTCCTTTGTGTCCTCATCTCCTTATGGGAAACTTCGCGCGACCAACTGGATCTTTTACTTGGTTTAAATGTAACAGCCAAGGTTTATGAGCCAACAGACTGTGTTAGCCGAACTGTAATTGCCGTAAGCAAATCTGAAGCCAAGTGCCTATACATAGATCCGAAGCATCTGAAAGCCGCTCTGAGAGGAACTAGTCATGATTGACGACGTTCTGGTAGATTTGAATCTACTAATTCTCTTTACCAAGACTGACCTATCGTTTGTTCCCTGACAACCGGAATTGGATGATCGGCTGTGTTTCCACATTGCTGTCCTACCTCGGTTTTGATTTCCCTTCGGACTGAAGGTATCTAGTGGAATTTTTCAGAAACGTCCTGTTCAAAGCTCGTGATAATCTCAGACATGGTTTGAGACATTGACGACGAGCTGGTTTGCGCCAAGTAACCAGAGGAAGACGATACTTATTCTGAAGATTCTCCAAAATTCTAAGAGCATCAGAGTTCAAGAAAATTCGGACACTCTATCATAAATTTCTTTTCGTAAACATCTTTTGACAGACAAAGGACCGGTAGCCGAACACGATAAAGTCAAGCCGGTTGAAGAAATTCACACTTTCGAAGATTCCTTCCGAGCCCGACAAGTTCGGTGAAGCCTTTTCAACAGCTTACTCACAAGGCAGCACCCTGAGACCCGATAATTGAGCAGAAGGCTGCATTCAAAAAGATAAACAGAGCCGTTATAGAAACACCCGTATTAGTATACATCGACCCCATCTCCGTTTATTTGTCCAGCTTAGCAGCCTTCTCTCCGGTCTGGAGGGACAACATTTCAGCGAAACAGGTGGCCTATCGAGGACCAACCTGCTGCCAGCTCGGCTCAACCTTGCACTGCGGACCTGTATTCTTGCTCATACTCTGTATGTGTGCATTGCGGATGAGTCCAAACATTTCGGACAAAACAAATGTGGTTAATTCATACCATTCAGCAGTAAATCGACTTTGGATATAGCACTCTAAAGCAATGTTTTAAACAAATATATCCGCTACTGAAACCGAAAATCTAAAAGGCTTGCACATCTAGACAAGTTTTATTTTCCTGAAGTAACGCAAGTTGATGATACGACTGAGGGAGCAACAAAATAAAAGTAATGTCCTTTGAAGAAGTAAAGCATTGAATAGATTCAGTGAAAACGAAGTGCAGAAGGTTGAATGAGGAAATAAATTATTGTTGTTGTGAAGGATGTATCGAATTCAGCAAATACCACGGGGGATACATCCGTGTGTGCTACCAGCCCATTTCTTTGTTCGACGGTAGATAATCCACCCCATTCAAAGGTCTGGGGACATTTTCCGTGAAATGACCAGATACATTCCCACTCGGTCGGTAGTAAGCGGCTATAAAAATGTTGCAACCTCCATTCTTGGTGGTCAGACCAAAACCGGCGTGGGTGGATGATTTCCAGATGATTTGCGAAAAGTTGCCTTTTTGATGTGAATAAAACGGGGCCAAAGGAGTGGAACAATAAAGAGAGTGAAGGGGTGTTTTAAAATTCTTTCTGGTTCTTTTTGCCTATTTTTGTTGAAGCAAATAAAAATCAAACGATAAGGACATTCAGTTATTCCTTCGCCCTACTCGGCCTAATGTTCGTAAATGAAAGAGGACGATCAGAAGCTGGAATGATTGGTTAATTACAGTCTAATTTATCAAAAGCTTATTATCATGATGCACTCAAATATTGTTTTATTCCGACGCAAAATATCTGAACCGCTGCTAACAACCCCAATATAGCATTGCACACGTATAGTAATGAGACACTTCTGCAGCATCTGTTTCGAGTTCTTAAGCCGCCGATCTAATAGAAACTTGATCTCACCAGCCCTACGTATGACATGGATAAAATACGGCTACGGTCAGCAGAACAAGTTTTAATCGAAAAGCTATGTTTATCGAAAATTTGTGGTAATAAAACAATACAATAAGCACAAATCTATAGTTGAAAAAACTTACTGCCAGACCAGAAACCAAGAAAAAAGTTCATAGGCCTTCCGAAAACCGGAACGGCGCAGAAAATAAAATCGGTTTACTTAGCAAGCGGCTGAATGAAACTGTAGCGCAGTTCGACTACGTTACAATCAGTAAATCAAGAAAATTTCTACCGACACGAATCAGTAAAACTGGCACAAAAGGATGAACGAAAGTGTAGTTCCCAAACGAAAGGGAATTGTCAATAAGTGAGTACAAATGAGCTGAATCTGTAGATCAACCTAGAACATATGCCAACAAGAAAGCACGAACCCGGGATTAGATCTGTTGCTGACTCTAAAGTGTGATAGACAATGCTGGAAAGCAGTGACAGAAGGGTCAATCTTGGGAGTTTGAGCCTCCACATGGCTGTACAAACAAAAAGCTGAGAAAGGTTATCATACTTTGGAAAATTAGTCCTTTGAGGAGACAAAGTTATGAATAAGTACTCAAATTTTTTGTGCCATAGGCACGGTAAAACTCAGTGATAAATAAGAAACTGAGAAAATACGATCACTAGATATTCACGATGTACGCTCTCACTACTAACAAGTAACCAAAAATAGGGAAGCCTTGATTGCAATTAGCAAGTAACAACTTCATCAGGGCAATCTGAAATAAAAAGCTTCTAAAAGTAATTGGTATTCGCCAGAATTTATCCCGCTTACCAGAGCTGTATGATGCCTCATAATAGTACATGATATGGAAATCTTGTTAGATATTGAATAATCACAAGTAAGTTGACTCTGCATTCGTTGTTCGGGGAAGTGAACTTTGACCGTCTTATACAGAGGTTGTCACGAGACAGACGATTTTGATCATAGCAGGAGCTACACACAGGGCTCAATGTCGTTTCAATAATGGATTTGTTCACATGCCTCAGGCCGATACTATACACGACCATAGCTCAGAAATTCGGGGAAAACGTTTGACACTGGCATGACATCTGACTGTCTTTGAAAGGTCCAATGTACGCTGCCTACAATATTGTTGCCCTTGGATACCTCGCAGAAACATGACCGTCAGTTCAGTTTAGTTCATTCAGCCAATAACCTCACTCTTCTGTGCTCTGGCTTCGGTTGATACCTTCCAGCATCGCTGAGTCAATGGCAAAAAGAATAGAATTATAAAGTGAAAAAGAACCGAAAGTAAGTTAGGAAGCGGAAATCACGAAAACGGATAAGTATTCCGAATGTGACTACGCCACTGGTGGTTGGGACATGTGCTGTGCATGTCCACTACCAGGATTCCTTGGCGCACTGTTTGTGTTTAAATAAGTAACGGTTGGAAGATGAGTAAGGTTGATCGGTCCATGACATAGAAGAAAGTTATGAAAAGCCTGACCAGTAGACGGTCATGTAGGGCGCGGTAGACTTCCTGGGTGGGGTCCAAGAGACCCTCCCACCCTATGGTTAGGTATATTGGAGGATATGGCTAGATGCAGCCATTAGTGGCTCTCTTGTAACCACAAAAGTTTTTCATCAGCTTGATACCATTACTTTGTAATTCTCTTCTTACCAATTTCACCCTTATTCAATATTCCATTCAGATTTTGCTGCTGGCAGATAGCAACCAAAGCCACAGCAACCAGCGAATGATTAATGGTTGTCTGAGCTGAAGTGAACTGGTGGCAACATATAGCCATATCTCCTAGTGTCTGCAGCCATCTGTAGGTGATTGGCTTGGACCTCAACCTGGAAGTCCAACAAGTCCTATTTGGCCACATCCACTAGTCAAGGTTTTCATACCTTTGTACAATATCATGGACTAACCACTCTCACCTAGCTTCCTAATGCTACCTGCCTCGGGAAATAGAATAAGCCTAGGAAGCCCATCGGTACGCGTGCGTAACACGCGTCGCAACCACCATAACCCGTTTAGATCCAGTACTTAATCCAGAAAATCACCCCTGGTTCACGACGTCTCAAGTATAACCTCAGCATTGCTGATACTGTGTTCCCAACATATGCGGGCGGTGCTAGTGAGATATCGGTGCATGAACACTGACATACTTTGCCTATCTTATACACTTGATACCCAATTTTCTGACCCGTATAGAAGAACAGGCCTAACCTCAGCAGTATAAACTCGACCCGTGAGAGAGAATTGGATGTTGCCTCGGAGCCACAAATAGCTGAGTTTGGCAAAAGCCGATTGCACCTGTATATGTGAAGACACTTCATCCGATATCTGTCTACCTGCTAAGATGTAACTGTTCATTTAACAAAACCTGTCTACTGGTTTTAGTGTAGCGTTAACCCAGTCCTGCAGTATTATCTTACAATTTGAAGGTGCAAAATGCATCCCATCATTGCTATACTGTTGTTTGGGCTATCCAGGAAAGCTTGCAAATCACCTGAATCTTCACTCAGAATGAAAATATCGTCCGCCTATTCCAAGTAAGACAGTTTACTGCCTGGGCAAAGATCGATGCCACTTTTCTCACACGAGGATGGGAATGTATCAAAAAACAATTCAACAAAAAAATTGAAGAGAGAAGGCGAAAGAGGGCGATCATGATGGACACTATTGTCCGAGATGAACTCGGGGAAAAGATTGCCGTAAGTACGAATTCGGCTTCGGTTGTTCATATAAATGGATTATACGATGAAAAAAATTCTCTGTTTCACCTTTCAACAACAGGCAGTTCGGGGAACTGTACGGTGGACTGAGACAAACATAGTACTCAGATCAATGAAGATAGAGGTTGTGGACCTAAGGACGGTATTCTTGGAAGCACAAAGTTGCGGGGTTTCACTTGCATGTATATACGATAGGTTCACCATAGAAGTGGGCTAACTGAACTTTCCCTTAAGATTCTGTAACCAACTGTTCGAAAGACGTCCCTGAGCGTGGATCAGTGGGCCTTTAGATCCCTTGTTTACCTCACTTCAGGCTTCCGTGGACCGGTAGTTTAATCGCACGGTAAAGGTTGTGGCCAAAGCCTATAGATGCAGTCTATTTCTTTTCTCTAGGTTTCGCAATCCATCGCTGCTCGCGCTAATTCGTCGAGTTTCTAGTCATTTGGTTTCTCAGGGATTTAGGCTGTCCACTAAAGGCGGCATCTGGTCTGCGAGCCTTCAACAGAGTCACTGATGTCGGAGATATCCATCATCTGGGGGCCTACCTGAGCCAGAGCCTTGTGTGACATTTGCAGGGGCATATAAGGCTTCCTTCATTTGCTGTCAGCGTTCATTTGAAGTCTGCACATCCGGCTGCATCGATAACCATGTAGACAGCTCCACCTGAAGAGCTTATCGTCGATTATCGTCTAGAAGCTACTGCGCGAAACTGGTGGCTATGGCATTGGTGCAACCACGAATAATAGGTAAACTGAAACGAGCACGTACGAAGGCGTGATCTGAGTGCAAAAGCGTAGACCAAAATGGACGAAAACCTTCAATTGACTCAGGTCAGCTTTAACCAAAGATATTATTGTCAGTCTGAGTCCAGCGATTTAAAGTCGTATGAGGATGCCATGTCAGTTTATGCCCCCTTTTTACAGCATAATTTTGTACTCGCCAGTAACAATCTGTGGCCAGAGCAAAACAGGATGAGGGAACCCCGTTGTCAGTACAGTCAGCTGGGATAGAAAATGGGCCTCCTACCAGTCATTCAGGAACCCCCAAAACAGCCACTCTGGACGTTGAAATCCCCAGCGATGACAAACCGGTCTGTTGAACGTGCACTTCGAAGCAGCTGAGACAAATCCTGATAGAACTTGTCCTTGGTCTCAGAGGAACTGCAGTCAGTGGAAGCATACACAGACATGACGAACAAGCACCGACTTTTCAGCCAGTTGCTGTTGACGGCTACAGAACTGTCCAGCTTATTACACACTTAGAGAACTGTTGACTGGATCCAGTTTGACAGGGCATGTTCAGCTCTTAAGCTCGAAGCAATCCCAAGGCCAGCCAGACCACGAGCACTAGAAACCGTATCACCCTACACGCGCGGAGTAAAGAGAAAGACTGAGGTTGTGCCTGGGTTCCGAAGAGTGATCACAGAAGTGGGGTCTTTTACGTATTTCGGAGACAACGCATAAAGCGGATCGCTAACAAAGCACTTTCTAAAGCAACAAACAGGTCTCACGTGACAGACCAGGAGAACTTTCCTCACAGGTGTTTCTGTCACTTTCCCGTCCCGGGTTAACGCCCCACGGCCTTGTGGGTCAGTCTTTTGGATCAAAGTCCCCAGTTATGGTTCCTAAAGAATTACCCCTTCTGCCATGTGGACAACCATGAAGTATGGTTCACCCAGCAGCCTACAGCATTATTCCAATAAAGGACCTTACAAAATTGAACATCGATACAAAAAGCCACGGGTAAATGACGATCTGAAGAAAGCAATAGTTGAGAAGCGGGCAGTCTCTAAATCAACCACTCTTTCAAGCAGCAGTTTCTCCATACTGTTGCTCGATCATTGTGGAAAAGCCGCTTTGTTAATACTCATTTACCACTTAAGGTTTAGGGAGGCCGAGGGCAATCATCGAAGCGTGTACTCTCTCGGGACAGCTTAAGGTATCCATTGGACATGTCACCCATGCCCTGAGTTAGTTTTATTTGCCTTGCACTGTTCTATCAGCGAGGTAATGGAGTAGTTGGATGTTGAGATGAGGGTAGTACTCCATATCGGGGCCAAGATACGTGATAAGGTAAAACTTTGAACTTGTTTCAGTAGGATAAGCTTACCGGTTGGAGTCCCAAAGATTCACCCGACGGATGATTGGAAACATCAGGAGCTACCGCTAGATGCCAAGATTTTTGGCTAACATTTATTCAAGCTCTATCTTCATCTTCATCATTTAAAATGGTAATCTTCACCTTCCACTTTTTGATCCTTACGTTTCTATTCCTTCTGATCTCCAGTGGAAGGAGCTGCGGGTTAGTAACGCGAAATGGAGTACAGTAAAGTGAGGTAAGTGGTTGAAAGAGGTAAGTTGTGCTGATGTCCGACTGTTTGAATGGTATGAAAGAGCACAGCTGAGGTGATCCTGTAAGGGATCTCCCCTGCAGTAGTTTAGAGTTTCAATGTGACAAAGACACATAATAAACAACAAATCAGATCGACTTTTTCATCTGAAAACATGGATAATCGGTATTGGCTTTGGAAACTGTCAAAAATTCATAGCACATGAAGATAGAAAACATGTTAATTTTGCACCTCCCGATAGTTGTACGGTATTGAGTTCACTGCCTCCTTGTGAAATAAACCTTCGGTCATATAAAGTAAATTTAAACCACTCGATAAGCTAAGCTTATAGGCTGAGCTTACCAGACATGCTTTGTCTCTCCTCACCATAATGAAAACGTTGAACTTCCGAATACCATCGCAGCGTGGCTTGTTTACCTGAGCAAATGAAACGGAACTGAGTTCAGATATCATACGTATCTCACAGATAATATTGTATATATATTCTCACTAGGATCTAATTTTAATCTTCTGGTGTGAGTGGATACTATTCGTTGAAGAGTCCACAGATGAATGACAACTGCGTTTCTGTTAAATATCTGTGTCTGGGTCACTACTAGCCCAACGGACAACGATGCTGCATGTGCAGGCCTCCATATTGAAAGTATGCAATAAGTAAACTTGTGGACGAAATTTCCCCGGAAGCACACAACCGGCTTCACGGTTGTTGCCGCTCATCGGGTATACGAACCCTGTCATCCTCTGCCCGCTCGTCTTCATACTTGCACATGCAGTCTCGTTGTTCGTTGAGCTAACAGTAACCCAGACACGAATAACTATGAGAAATCACAATTGTAATTCATTTGTAGGCTCTTCAATGAAGAGTATCCATTCACACTCCAGACGATTCAAATTAAGTCCTAGTGAACATATAACATCGGAGGGTACAAGTATGATGACGAATGGGCAGAGGAGTACTGGGTGCGCATACCTGGAGAGCGACAACAAACACGAAACCGGTCGTGTGCTTTCGGGGAATGTTTGTCCACACTTTTACGTACTACTCAACATCGCATATATATATATATATATATATATATATATATATATATAGTCTTCTCAGTAGTGTTAATGGAAGAGGGGACACAACTGTGGTCCATGAAGTTGTTTGTGGGTAAGTCAGCGCCAGCCCAAGGAAGCACGATACTTCAGGTGCAAACACATATATTGCTAGTAATTAATATGTAAATTGATGGACAAAATTTCCCCGGAACCACCACCGATTCTGCAGTTGTTGCCGCAAAATTGGTATAACTTACGAAAATACCCAAACAATGTCTTTAACGAAAACGCATTATGGGCGAGCAATCTTATTATTTCTTGTCTTCTACATAATAAAATATTTCCATTTTTTTTAATTTTGAGCACAGTCTCTTCCATAATCACGAAGACGAAAATGATTATTTTAATTTCCAGGCCCCCTTATTTCTCTCTATTGTCGGTCACTTCCATCGATTGACAGCTTCTAACTGTCAGTGACGTTAGTTCTAAAATATTCCACCAAAGTACGTGATGAAAATGATAAAAACGGAAGAATGACAAATATTAATTACGATTTTCTTGTTCAGGTTAAAAAGTTGAAGTAATCTGTAGCTTTTTCTTCTGTGAGCCTATCCAGCAAAGAGACAATCGATAATTTCCCATACGTTTCTTCTGATAGTTTGGCTTTTTATTCTGAGGCATGCATACGGCTAACTTGTCGACACAAGGGACCGATCCGAATCTGTTCGGTAGCGGCGAAAACTAGTTGTTGTAGATTTTACCTTCATATATTTTTTTACAAATTTTCATATCCGAAATTTTACTCATTTGAACTTACTAGCTTCCTGCTTAATTTTTATGTTACAAAAAATCATTCGATTTCAGCTGTCTACATATCTCTGTCAAACTATCGTTAGCGTGTAATGTTTGTTATCCTGTTGCAGTTAAACCAAAAGAAATTCACCGGGGGGGGGGGGGGGAAATAGTGTGTTCAGAGTATTTCAAGACCATCAACGGGTACTCCACAATCACGAGAAAACATAAAAATAGCACTGGGACACGTAATAACTGATCGATAAAACCGAAAATAAATACTTCCTACAAGAGGTTTGCACATATACAGGGGATGTTCATCGGGGGGATTTTTGTTGAAAGGATGAACCGCGGGTGTGAATCCTGACTATCTGACTCCCACTGCTTTTACGAGAGCCTGTGAGACCCATCCACCCAGAAGTGGGCTATGCTACCAAAACTTTCAGTTTACCGCGGTGGTTGTGTTCTGCCTTTATTTTGTGATACAGAGAAAATGATTTTCTAAAGAAATCATTTTCTGAAAAAGCGCCTCACTGGGCGAAACAGTCTCAACAAATGACTGCTTTGTCCGTTATGACGACTGCATTTAGCAATAGATTACAAGCAGACAGAGTATTGCCTGTATTTGTGTGTAGGATTTGCTCGGAGAGGCTTCGGTGGGTTCCCTGCACAGGTGTTAGTAATTACAAATATTACCTTCTTTTCTCTTCCCATCTACGAACGTGTTAGCAGTCAGACTATTGCTTGAATCAAAAGCCCGTGAAAGATTTTTAGCATTTGCCTCGAATGGCTTTGCAAGATTGATCGACTTGAAGGTTCAAGAATCTTCAAAGTGTTATATTTCACAGAACTAATTTCGCTCGGAGTTCTAGAGTATATCGGCTACTTGCTCCCCATAAACTACCCCTATAGATTAAAGGAATCGTGTTTGACTGTCTGAGGCAAATATTGCCCAGAATCGCAACTTACCGGCGGAGATGGGGTCAGAACATACAGACATTGCACTCATCCTCTTGAAAGTACTACTAACTTTAGATATTTCAACTCGCAACCACAGCCCCATCGTTTTTCCCCTAGCTGCGACTAACTCAAATAGAGTTCTTCTGGGACAAGCACCCAGCCACGCAGCTGATGCACAAACTAGATTGCTGTGAATGAAAGAATTTGACATACTTATGCCGTTTTTCATGAAACCGTTAAACCTCGATGGGAAATAAATTGTTTTAATTAGTTTGTAGTTCATCTCGGGTGACAATGTTTCAGAGACATCAAACCTCAAATCCTGGATGGGAAAAATTATTGGTTCAGTAAACTGAACGCAGAGGAGCTGCTGATCTTCGAGGATACTTAACATAATGCAATGTTTGGAAAAAGTTGATTTCTTTTGTTCAGCTTGTAAAGGATTGAAGCCACTGAGGCACCATATTGACGGTTTTCCTTACCCCTGTGCTCTCGTGAAACTGTCCTCATGCAGTCACACACAAGTAAGAACACACACACACAGACGCTTGTCTCACTTGTGAGCGGGGTGCCGATCCTCTGCCCACATACCCATACATTCGCATTTGCCTGATATGATTCACCATGCAATGTGAATGTTCAAATCATTGAAAATGTTAGAAGTGATGTACAGCTGTTTCATCAATGTTAGGAACCATCAACGGTGCACAGAGAAACCGTCCATCATAGAAGTCGCTCGCTGGAAGGGAAAGAAAAGCTTGAAATTTACGTGAATCCTCACTCAGAATAAAAATGTCGTCCGCCTATTCCAAGTAAGACAGTTTACTGCCTGAGCAAAGATCGATGCCACTTTTCTCACACGAGGATGGGACTGTATCAAAAAACAATTCAACAGAAAAATTGGAGAGAGAAGGTGGAAGAGGGCAACCCTGATGAACACCACTTTCCGAGATGAACTCAGGGGAAAGATCGCCATAATCATGAATTCGGTCTAGGTTGTTGGCATACAAGGATTGGAGAAGAAATAAATTTCTCTGGCTTGCTCTTCAGTGAGAAGCAGCTCCAGGAAACTGTGTGATCGACTGAGCCGGAGGCCGCTCTCCGATCCAGAAAGACGAAACTGTCGGCCCACGCTCACTGCCACCTCCTGCTGAATTTCACTGACTTTTACTGATAATGATTGAGCATTTTACGAAATGATGCAGAAAGGCGCCTTCTGATTAAGACACCTTCCATCCAGGCTGCGTATTTATTCCTAATATTTTGATTTCAGGCTGGGGTGTACGTCATTTTGTACTTACAAACAAGGACCCCAATTTTGAAAGCTTGCCAAGGACTGATCTCCATCAACTATTGAGTATCAGAGCGACGCATCCAACCCTTAAACATTCTGAAGGGAAACTTCCTATAGAGGACCAGTCGGGCGTTAAAGAACCTGATGAAGACTCTTATTTGCTGACAAGGCGTATCATTATGTGATGGTGCACTGGGTTTGTCTACTAACATATGGGGCATCAGTGCTGACGTCCTCTGATGACACATGAGGTTTTAAGATGAACGAACAAGAAAGACGTTTTCCGATCGATCTGACCGTACTGGGGTCTGCAAGAGATATGCAGACGCCAACCGTCTGGGGAAGAGTTGCAGTGAACTCTGACAAATAACCATGGCCTTATTTGGACACACTTGAAAACAGTACAACGACATTGAAAGGAATTATAAAATGTGAACCCCATGGTGGACCGTTGCGTCCGAAAGAGGAAATCTGGCAATGGTAAATATAAACATTACCCGGAATGTGGTCAGAACTAAAACATGTAACCGACTTAAAGTTTTTGGGCAAGGAACAACTCTATTTGGAAGGAGACAGTGTAAGGCTTCAGACTGTTTATGGCTCGTATTGCGGGTGCCAAGAAGACAAACCGGTCGGCGAAATGACAGCCGGATGACACCCGCCGAACACGAACCTTGGCCACGCGTATAAAAACCGTACAACAAGTTAGTTTTCCTAAACCACCTTCAATTTTTGATTTGATTCCCGTATTCATGAGTTTGGCTATTAGTAAACGTTCGCTTGCCAACCGACGCTTCATCTCTGTACGATTATGAACAGCCGTTTCGGGCGACTAAATACATCCCCCTGTTGTACATCTCCAAGCCATCTGTAGATTTCTGCGATCTTGATTCAGACATAGGTGTCGATGTGTAGTGAGTTTCCCACTATACGTGTTTGATGACCCGGCTATCGTTGTCGAATTAGTTCTGTCGATCGGGGCACCAGTTGACCTCTATGCCAATACTCATGATGTCCATAACTTAATGCCAAATTTCACGGGCAGTGGATGCTAAACATCTGCAGTCTGCCAACTCTATTCGTACATGGATTCGGAGGTCCACCGCTGTAAAACAGATCTGATCAAACAGCGCTCGCTATCCTATGATTTACATGAGACCCGTATCAATACTAAAATTACTTGGACCTCGCATATACAGCTCGAACCTTGCAAATGTGCACATTCGTTTCTCGAAAGCCACAAATATCATTGAGTACAGCTACTCGGCTATGTCAGTTGATGCATAATGGTTAGGTCCTTATTGTCTATTGCTAACCGATTACTAACCAGCATCTGTATGCTTCACACAACCACATACTTTATGAGCCTGTAGAGTAGGTGCTCAGCTTTACAGAGATATAATAACCAGAACTGCTGCAACCGGTGCATGGATATTAGTGAGTTCAAATTACATAAAATGCATTTATAGAAAGTCCCCGAATGAAGGTTTGGACAAGTGAGACCATATCACCTTTTACTATAAGCAGTGGCACACTTGAACTTTGAATCATTTTTCATAAATGTTTAATAATATTTACTTCAAAAAAATAGATTACCAGCCAGTCACTTTAGCCTAAATCTTACCCGTTATCACTGTTGGTATGTTTCCTTCACGCATAGATAAGTTCTCCCCATGATTCGGCGATAAACGATGATGCATTTGATTCTTAAGCGCCATCACCTCCGTGTGCTCTTGGGCTTTGGCGGCCAAATTACGGTCCAATTCAAGCGGTGGACACCCATGCAGTGCGCGTAGTCTGTTCGTACAGAAAGATAAGACAGGAAATGTTCCAAATATTAGACAGTTTAGTAAGATAAATTCGACTGATCCATATCCACGTCTTCACAGCCTGTTCACAAAGAGAATCCGCAGTATCCGTTCTTTTCCATCTCTTCTTTTGTTCCACTATGGTTGTAACTCCATTAAAACTAACCATGTTTGTATTTTCATTGTTATGCTTTAGTTAAGTTCTGCATAATAACTGGTGTTGCCGAAGTACTGCCCATAGTATCTCTTGTCTTATTGTTTAAGTCGCAAATTGCTGTAAACAAGGCCCATTTTCGCATAAGCTAAACATCATCATATGTGGAAAGTGTAAATCAAGTAGCACTATTCTATGGAGGCCAAAGGAAATTCCCAGTTCCTAGGTAATCTGGATACCGGTTTGCCAATTTAAACTCAAAGATACTTGTAAATCAGTCACTGGATAAAACAATACATGTCACTTTACGCAATTTATAAAAGTCCCTTTGGAAGGGGCAGATAGTTTAATGGGGTAAACACAATAGGTACGTTATGTGAAATCTGCCGTCCACGATGAATTCAGCCTGATGGTTGGAGTTTGAAAAAAGCCACCGCTAATTGGTGAAAAGATTTCGATAATTTACTTCGGTTACCATAGCTAGTTGGGCACTTTGAATCGGTCATACAAGGTTTTCGAATTATATACTTCCTTAGATTTGTTACTCCTACCGTGTTCGTCTGAACTAATCACCATTGTTTGACGCTGTGGTGTGGCCAAAATATGCAGCTAAATAAGAGGAATTGACCCAAAATTGGATCTGAATCACTCTGATCACTCGTAGCATCAAAACCACAGAACAAGTTCTTTGTCATCGAGCGACATGACCAAGCAAACATATACCGAACTGAAGCGTGCCTTCACTAATTAACGGCAAATTCTAGTTACGAAATCGTATAAAACTTTAGTTTTTCAAGTTTGTGAAACAATTAAACTGCTTTCGCATGTAGGTAATAGGACTACGTGTATTACAGCGTAACAGATTGCTAAATATGTTACATAGGGTAAGTTGTCGACGACCGGAGTATTTATTACGATTTCATTGAAACCGTGGAGCTTACAACGTTCCTATGCGACGAACTTACTGTCACAGTATTTATTTTTCGCCGAATGAGAGACTAGAACTTACCTGTTGTGCTCTTCTAAGCACTCCTGGTTGAACTGTTCGTTAATTTCGCTTGTTGGTTTCACGGCCGTAATGACATTTTCCGGAGAGGAGACAGGCGTGTTTTGCTCCAGTTCCATTTCCAGTCACGTATCCTATTATTACGTCTTGGTTAAAGTTATCTATGCTGTGTCTTCTTCAGGCAGCCATGGCGCTCATCACTGGTCGGAATTAACCACCGTCAGAATGAATACCGCCGCAAGTGTCCAGTGAAGCCAGAATATCGATCTCGTCTGTCGATGAACAGACCTGTTTAAAAATAACCACGTGTTAGACCACGCATCTTTTGGGGCATTTAACGTTCACTAAGGTAATTTTAGGATCCTTGTCGAATTTTATGCATCCAGCTAATTCATTTTTAGAGGAAATCACTGCACGGAGATTAGCATTCAACTATCGAGTACGCTCCTGAAGAGAAAATAAGTATTACTAGGTTGGTATTGATAATGAAACGTTTACCTGGCTTTTCGTTCCTTAGGTAACGGAATTCAACGGATAGTCAATAGGTTACTATCTTATTACTATTCAACCGGCAGCAGTTTGAGCAGCACGCGAAAATCTTAGCTCTGTGAACGCTTCCTACTGATACGATGACGGTCACACGACTGAACTAACAGACCATAGGTCCTGATGGCTCTATTAAATGCATTATCTGTCCTGTAAAGGCGAAAAAATTGAGAAACTAAGCTCAGAACACTGGAGCTATCCAGCTGAAGTGGGCCAAGATTCTGGAACCAAAAGGAAGAAGAGGCGTTGATCCAGAATCGGACGGCTCCAGGTGAACTTTAAGGGCCTGCAAACAAACCGCCAATCAATAATACGGAAGATAACCAGAATCCTACCAACGAGAGGTGATCGGTGTAAGAGACTGTCCAGTGCCGCGTAAATTGGGGAGTAACCGGTGTGGGTTACCCGTTTGTTGGATAGGCTTTCCGTAGTGGAAGCACCTGCTCTCTGAATACAATTAATTATTGTGTACCTGAATGTAAGCCAAATCCTGCTGGTAAACAACTCGATAATTCTGGTCTCGCTGACAAAGGCCAGTGATAATTGGTCGAAAACCTGATGTCAAAACCGAATGCGTCTCGGAGAAGTAGTTGTCGTTCTAATACCACGCACTTGGACTGGCTGGGCCACTTTTGTTGTCCTGCTGTTGAAAAAGTGAACTAATTATGCTCCTAATTAGCTATCATGGCTACACTATGTTCGTATTCTCAACTGGAATTTTTACCATTAAAAACAGTGTTGTGTGTTCGGCCGATGAATTTCCTTTTCCTATGGCTATTATCAAGTAAAACTGGACTAAGAAACGGAAACCTGCTGGTTGGCAGTCCGCCCTCAGCTCTGTTACTCCCGTCAAAATTAAAGTGCCGTCTGAGACCAATGCTGATCTTCTTTCTCTCTCCTCAAAATTTCCGGATTTTATAAGCTTTTTGCGGACACAGATTCTTTTTCATATGCGCGCAGTATATTTTCAAGAATAGTGGCTTGAAGAGAATGTCGACAACTCTCATATTCGCCCAGACGGGGTCTAAAGAACAAAATTACGGAGGTGGAGTAGTGACCTACGTCAACTCAGCATGGAGTGGCAAGTCTGCTGCTGTTTCCAAGTACTTTGCAAAAATGTACTGAATGTCTTTCTACACTGTGTTGCCCTAGAGTCTCTCACTTCAGAGGCACTATTATCATAGACGTGTATACACCGTCTTTTTATGTGTAATCCAATACCTTCTCCACTTATAACGCCTTTACATCATTTCTAGGTCCCCTCCCAGTCGAAAGTTTACTAATGATCGTAAGTGATTTTATCCATACTAATACTCATTTGCAATTGCTAAAGGTGACAGCTAAATGATCTCATTAGACGGCGAGCTACCATCTACACCTAATACATGCACAACCTATAACTCTTTATACAGTTTGCCGCATCGCTATAGATCTGAGCACAAAGACTAACAAATTTGCATTTCCTGCAGACTGAAATAACTAAACAACGCATGACATGCATTGGTACTAAACGGGCATTTAAGTGACATTTGTGGTTAGTGTGGAGCCTGGAGCCTTCAGACCACATTAAATACTGGTCTATTCCACTAATTTACTTCTCTGTCATCCCATTTTCACGCACACTTTTCTAGCTGACACTATCATTTGCTCTGTGGTATTTCACTTACTTCGCCTAGTATCAGGCTGTTGAGTAGTAAGTTGTGAAATTCGACCTTCCTAGGGAGTACTCAGATTCTTTGTCCACACAGGACAATTGGTTCAAATTTTGCATACAACCTATGGGGACTGGGCTGTGAAGCTGACTACTGTAATTGTATACAGTAGGCTGATCACTACTGAGGAACTAACGGTTTTCATGAGAGGCGGTGCGAGTTGCGATGCACGTATGCGGCCTAGGCAACAGTTTTATTCCCACTCGGATTTACCTGTTGTGAAGTGGGAATCTTATGACATTTTATGCAATATACAGTAAACAGAAGAATTTGCTGAAGGCAACAGCCAAGTTGTATCACTATATTACACAATCAGTAAAATATGAAATGATAAGGATTTAATAAGGCACACGAAGTGGATGCCGATATCAGCATTTATGTTTGTTCAGACGTCTTCATGGCTGTTTCTTCCGTCTCTTGGATGACTTAACATAAGAGGCGTGACACATTCGTTAGAGAGAATGAAGGTTTCTATAAGGGCAACACATCGAAAATCAAACAAATCATCTCTGCTAAAATTAGGACATCTGCAAAAAGGGATGATGCCATCCGTTATTTTTATGGCTCTTACAAAGGATGCTTGCTTTACATCTATTCACTAATAAGAAACAAATAATTGGGACACTTCGGCTCGAAATGAGCGTACTACATAAGTATTTCCCTATATCTTGAACTATAATAACGCACTTTATCCTTTTGTATCATTAAAGCTTTCTGGCCCATAGTTTTGTGTGGTCTTTTAGGTTGTGCTCTGTGACTATGTATCACTTTTCCCATTCGAAATAAGCCAAGACTCCGAATACTGGTGGCTAGTTGTACGGTTTCATTCAGAAACTGGTTGGGTGAATGGAGATCACGTTTTGTAGGCTGCTGGAAGTAATGCCAGTAGTTTCGGTCACAAATGGAGGAAACTGCAATAAATCACCCAAGGAGGAATAGTGTGACCAGCTTAAAAGGAAAAACTGGTCACGGAAGATTTTATTATAAGTACCTCTTTCAAGATCTTCCATGGCTACCGATAGGGATAGTATTTGGTAACACGAAGAGTATTCACATCCCTTTTTTGATTCGTTAATTTCGCAATGAGAAAAGCACCCTGTATCCTCAAAGCATCGGAAGAGTTGCTTTAATTTCGCTCACCTTTGGTGGAAATTGTCATTTGCATTCTATACGAACAATCACTCGGTGATAAGTAAGATAATGCAAGACATAAATCTGATATGATCTATTTAACTTTTCTGTGAAAAAGATAATTTGACAGAAAAAGTGCCCCTAGAATATTAGCACAAAAGTCCACATCGATCAGAACTACCAGACAGCTTGATGTAAAGATATTATAACCCGATCAGGAAACACGAAAGTTTGCAAGGTGGCAATTTTTAATTCAGTTCAAGATAAAGTTATCATCCTGATAACTAAGCAGCACATCTACCTCGTGTCATTACTCCCAGTTTCCGGTATCTGTTACTAGTAGTATTATTTTCGTTCTCTGAATGTTCTCGACGATTCCGACCGCTAATTGCACGATTGAAATAAAAGGACAGAGAGCCCTTAAATTTGTATTGTTGGTTCTGGGTAAATGACAAGAAGCGGGAGAATTAACTAACCAGTGACCAGAGCCAATGAGCCAACGTGCTCCAAACTTCCACAGTATTTCTTGTAGTTTAGGAGCCTTGCATTGTACTTGAAGAACCACTAATCATAAATGAACGAATTCCATGAATCCACAATATCTTTGAGTGGTTGTTTAAATGACCATTTATGCATATCGTGGGATGCACAAGCAGTTGTTGTTATTATCATGAAACCGTGAACGGCAAAATCATTCTAAATAAATAAAACCTATAAACCCTGGCAGAATTTCATTCTGGTAAACTAAGGGCTTTTCGCTATTTCCTTCTAACAGAACTTTTACCAAGCTTTCATTGCGGTTAATTGTCTCGTCAGTGGGGTCAGACAGTTGACTCGGAGGAGGAAGAAGACCGAAGGATTGTCTGATGGCCGAAAGATCTTCCAGTGCCTGTCGATGGATAGGAGCTTTGTTGGAAGTAAATACAACCTCGAAGATGGTTTGTTCAACGATCACCTTCGAAAAGTATGTTTCCAAGGATTTACTGAACAGCTGGTTATTTATTTTTGCGTAACATTCATAATTTTAGGGTCCACTCAGAATGGGGACGGATAGTCCTGTTGAGCATTGACCTCAGGTATGCTTTGTTCTGTCGTTTGTTGAGTGATGCGTGGACTTTTCTTCCATTGTAATAGACTAGAACCTCCTATGTGGTCGTGTTCTGTGCTTACCATCTGGAGTAGGTGGAAAAATAATCAGAAGCGACATTGACGAACCAATGCGTGCACATCCAAACGGCTATGCTCAAGCCCGGCTCACTACCACGCCTCATCTATTGAGGCCTTGTGTGGTTCGCGACTTTATTGCACAAGATCATGGTTGCCGCTTTCCTTCACCACAGGAATCATGGGGACATACAATCATATAGGCTTTCGCTTTGTTGCTCACTCTGCCTACTAGAAAAACAAGCACGAACTCACAACCCTTACCAGGATTTTCGGACTTAAACGTAAAATTGATTATGTACACCAATTTCTCCTATTTTCTCTTGTTGCCCTATTTTTGACCGGAACTGAAATCTTCCTCTCACCAGACAAAACCCACCTCCCATTCCTCAACCATACCACTCACTCCTCTTTTTCACCCAAAGCTAGTGTCTGTACCTTTGTCCACCATTCAGTTGACACTTCCAGACCATAAAATCTTGGTTATTCCAGTCGTGAGTTTCAGTTGATGTGACTGAAGCTCCGAATATCATATCTCATCCACTAATTTTGTGTTGTTTGCCTTC